AATGAGACACATTTATATATACTAGAACAATTGACATGTTTTTTTAATATCTAATATATATAGGATATTCTATATATTGATAACTATATTTTATATTTTGGAAAGTATATTATATACAAAATATGTGTTGACTTTTAGGTTAATACCAGTTATAAATATAATATAATTTTAAGATATATATCAATACATTAAAATAAACTTGGTTGTAATCATGAAGACAATGATAGCAGTCACAGACCAATTATTAAGTCATCTCCTTTCTACAATGTAATTCATAGTTAAGACACTGCATATTAAAGTCTACTGAACAGGCCATTATTTGACAAGCATCTTAAAACAGTAATAGATCATATTCAGTACACAGCCACTTGTCTATTTATACTAAATAGACATGTCAAAATTGTTTTAATAAAAGTATCTTGTTTTGAGTCTGATTAATTCCCTTTTGAATTTAACAATGTAGTATCTTTGTAAAGACTAGAGGGGAGAGGGAGAGACCAAAAGGGAGAACCTTGAACTGGTACGTTTTGTTTTCCCATTGGAACTGCAGGTACTTACAAGATGAGCACTCTACAAGGACATGTAGGAAGGCATCTTGAAGGTCAATACTTGTTAGGTAGTTGTTCTTCTGTATCATCTGGCATACATGATGGATTGACTCCATCTTGAAGTGCTTGGGAGGCATGTATTGGTTCAATGGATTGAGGTTCAGCACTGGGCATAGGTCTCCAGTCTTCTTGGGGATAGTGAAGATTCTCAAACAAAATCCAGGCTCTTTGGCCTCTTCTATTGTATGCTTGATAAGAAGGGAGTGAATTTCTGTTTTGATTGCTTGGTAAGTGGGAGAGGTCTTGTCTTGTTGTCCTTTGCATGGTAGGGAGGATGTTGTGGGAGGCAGTGTGTGGAATGGGATCTTGTATCCCTTCTGAATCACTGATCTCACCCATTCCTTGTCTGTTAATCTTGTCCATGCCTTTTGGAAGAGAGAAAGGTGTTCACCTACTGGCAACAGTTTGGATCCTGAGACCTTGAGCATGGTCAAAAATCTTTCTTGTGTTGGGACTCAGTAGGGGGCTTGTTGTATGGAGTGGGAAATCAGCAGGCAAAGGTGGTTGTGGGGATCTCTCCTGAATAGGGGGCTGGTTATTCTGGCAAATGTTGAAGTCATTCTGTATGTTTCTCTTTTGTGATTGGGAAGGTTTCCCACAGCATATAGCATCTCTGAGAGAGCATGACATGGCCATTTGCTTGAGGACTTTGTTGGAATCCAAGAGGGGAGCAGGGGGAGCATCTTTGGCAGTGGCAACTGAATAAGGGGTAAGTCCTGTGTCATGGCAGACATTGTTGACCTGGATTTGGGTGATGTGTGATGCAATGTCAGCCAACAATGTGTGGACTGATTTGGCAAACACCATGCATGGATTGTGCACAGGAGTGTTTCCTTGGAAAAGACCATGGATGAACAGGTTGATTGGCTGCATAATGCCAGACAGATGGTACTGGATGTCACTGAGCTGACCATTGTGTCTCTTGGTAAAGGCTCCAGTCTCATTGCAGTTGAGGGGAGGAGCAGAGTACTACCAAAGGGGGTTTCTTGGGCAATTGTGGATGAAGGACCTATGTTTGGTTTCATCCAGTGGGCTGCAGAAGAAGTTGTTCTCCATCTCAGGAAAGGCAGCCAGAAGAGCAGGGTAAGGCACCAGATCAGTGGCATTGGGATGCTCCACAATGAAGGGGTCTTGTCTGTCATTGGACTGGGCTGTTTCCAGGGTTTTGATTCTTTCAAGGAGAGCATTGATTTCAGCAGAAGACATTACCAGGTTTTTGTTTTGAACAGTAGAGCACCTAGATGCAAAAGAAAAGATGATAGAGTTATATATAACAAACTAAACTAGTATATATACCTAAAATTTGAATATTTTTGAACAAATAAAGAAAAGATGGTAACACAGTCAGAGTCTCTGACTCATAAAGAATAATATAATATAATTAATAAGATAAATGCTAATGCAATATATTGTCTTGGCTTAACATGTTCACTGTGAAGAGAACATAAAGACATGACATGTATGTGCAATTGTACACTGTAGAATTTAGTATGAATAATCAAGTAAATTCAATGAATAAACATCATCTTCTATCTTCTCTTTTATTATTCTTCTTTGATCTACATGGGCTTCAGTCCAAACTAAGAACCACTAGCTATTCCACTCTGTGCACATACCTCCGGGCTTGAAACTATTCTATATAAATTAGTGAACAACAAAAGAGAGATTGTCGACATGTCCGAGTGGTTAAGGAGTGTGACTAGAAATCACATAGGCTTTGCCTGCGTAGGTTCAAATCCTGCTGTCGACGTATATAGTATATATTATACCTCTTACAATTGTTCTTTTTCTTAAGAACAGAGTTTGCTTTTGTCTTAGCTCTATTGTAAGGGACCACTGGAAACATGTATGAGAAAAGTACTACAAGAACAATTCAAATTAAAATGAATATATTATATTATTAATAGTATATCATTCTGAATTAATAGTTTTTTTTTAAATATAAATCTAGGTTTGTATAAGAGACTGTAATGACTAGTTTGTTCTTGGCAAATTATGAAAGTAATTTGGGCATCACCAATGGTCTTGTCCCAGACAAACTCATTAGTCTACCATTTGTCTCAACCATTATAAGTCTCTCTCCTCCTGCTCTTATCTTTGTCTTGGCTTGTTGTAAATCAATAGATTTGTTTATTAAGTTATTTTAGAATTAGATTGCAGTATATAACATTTAGTATAAATACTCAACTTATTGTCATAATAAAAATGATATTCTTGTTGTGTTCCAACTTCAATCCAAAGATTCTCTATGAATAGGTCAACACAAGTAGTGTGCTGTGACATTCAGAATACTCTATGAAAGCTTGAGTGCACACAAGTAACATAGCACATCTCTGTATCATCTCACTGATTGGTTGTAACTACAAGCCACCTTCTAAAGCTCAGTGTACTATCAGACACTTAACAAGAGCCATCTTCATTAATAATTCTAACAGAACAATATTGATGTATCAGAGCCAATTGAGTAAAGACTTATAATAATGAATGGTTTCAATAATGGAGTGCTTATCCAATGAACCAACCATAGGGTTGAATCTAATAATACTACAACTAAGTAAAACATATGAGCCAACCATAAGGTGGCAGTTATTAATACTACCATAAGGTAGTAATATAGACACCAACCATAAGGTCAAAGAGAGTGAATTCTACCATAAGGTAGAATGTCCCCACCAACCATTTAGTTGTAATTGTGAAGCAGCCATAAGGTTGACTATCATAACTACCATAAGGTAGAATAGATTATCCTACCATAAGGTAGAAGCCACTGAAGGATAAGCACCCACCAAAAGTATAAATAGTGAACCTTTCTTTACTCAATAAAAATTATCTTTGTTCAGTCTTGTTAATCTACCTGTCCAAACAATCTCACAGTGGATTGTAGAGTCATCTGGCATGCACTCAAGCAAAGAAACACACCACCACCACTTCTGGCCCTTCTAGTCCATCTCTTTGATGCTGTTTCTGTGACAGTGATACTGAAAAACTGTGAATCACGTCTGTTTTTGCCAGTGACAGGTGTCCTTCAAGGATCAGTCCTGAGTCCTCATCTGTACTCAATCTACATCAACTCTCTGGCACCTTTGTTCAGAACAGTGGCAGAACGCCAAACAACAACATTTGTTCCTTCCTTTTCACCTTCTTCCTTGTTGGCTTATGATGCATCTATCATTGGCAGCATTAGTACCAGCACAGAATAGCCCACAGCAATCAACTCTTTGTTCTTTGCAGATGACATTGCAATCTTTGGCAAGGCAGAACAAGTCAAGCACATGCTTCAATTAGCAGAGCACCACTCATTCTTGTTGGGCTTTAGGTGGAGTCCCCCCAAGTGTGCAGTCATACAACCAGCAAGGTCATCACAACAGCATACATACCAACTGTATGGTGAGCCTCTACCCTTTGTCAATGAGTTTATCTACCTTGGTATCCCTTTTAGGTTCAATGGTATCCATGTCCCCTCCATAGTCACTCATAGAAAACAAGGTACCATGCTGGCTGAGATTGTTTGGACAGGTAGATTAACAAGACTGAACAAAGATAATTTTTATTGAGTAAAGAAAGGTTCACTATTTATACTTTTGGTGGGTGCTTATCCTTCAGTGGCTTCTACCTTATGGTAGGATAATCTATTCTACCTTATGGTAGTTATGATAGTCAACCTTATGGCTGCTTCACAATTACAACTAAATGGTTGGTGGGGACATTCTACCTTATGGTAGAATTCACTCTCTTTGACCTTATGGTTGGTGTCTATATTACTACCTTATGGTAGTATTAATAACTGCCACCTTATGGTTGGCTCATATGTTTTACTTAGTTGTAGTATTATTAGATTCAACCCTATGGTTGGTTCATTGGATAAGCACTCCATTATTGAAACCATTCATTATTATAAGTCTTTACTCAATTGGCTCTGATACATCAATATTGTTCTGTTAGAATTATTAATGAAGATGGCTCTTGTTAAGTGTCTGATAGTACACTGAGCTTTAGAAGGTGGCTTGTAGTTACAACCAATCAGTGAGATGATACAGAGATGTGCTATGTTACTTGTGTGCACTCAAGCTTTCATAGAGTATTCTGAATGTCACAGCACACTACTTGTGTTGACCTATTCATAGAGAATCTTTGGATTGAAGTTGGAACATGACAATCACAGATACTTGCAAATCTTTGATTTTAAACACAGATTCATAAAAAGGAATTTCCATTGTGACGTAAAAGGAAGGAAGTATCACTGGTTAAAGGTCAGAAAAATCTTTGGGTGTGTAGAGACCAAACTACTACAAATTGATCTCTCAAGTAGTCCTTTTGATAACCCAAGTATCTCTTATTACAGATATAAAAGACAAGAGATATCACTGCTTGAAGCAGCAAAAATTGAAAAAATCCGGCTTACCAGATTCGAACTAGTGACCTAAGGATTACAAATTCATTACAGTCCTCCGCTCTACCAACTGAGCTAAAGCCGGAACCTGAGCTACATTCCCACTCTCTTTCAATTTCTCCTCACTTTTGGTAAGTTTTCAAATTTTAACTAACTTTTTTTCCACCCCATCTATTTGCATCCAGTACATTTTTGGGTGCATCCATCTGCTGCCTTTTCGAATCCGTTGTCTGTTTTCCTCTAGGCCTATTTCTCAATGAGCTTCTCTCCCTTTCCTTTGGGAACACCTTTACACCTTGTCTCTGGTGCCATGGAGACCACCACCGAACCACCACCTAGTCCGGCCCTGTCGGACTTCCAATCCCTGACTGCCTTGGTTTTAGGCCTGGCAAAAAAGGTCCAGGAGCTAGAGAGCTCCAAGGCTGATATCTTGGCTCTGAGAGGTCGGATTTCAGAGCTTGAGGCGGAGAACGAAAGCCTGCGACGTCGCGCAGCCGCCACAATACCAGTCACACCCATGACGTCATCGTCGGAGGTAAAAAATGCAAAAATTACTAACAATATGTTGGTTTCTCCTGTCTCTTCTTCAGGATTTTCCCCCCTGTCTGCCTCTGCCAATGCTGTCAAAACAGCAAAGGACTCCTCCTGGGCCACTGTGGCCAAGAAAAACTGCCCTGCTCCTGCTCCCAGACCTAGGACTTCCCAAAGGAAGTTTGAGGCTAATGTCCGAGTCTTTTCTGAGGCTTCTGATGTCACAGGACATCAGTATATCTACATCCCCCGGTCAAGAAAGATGACCAGACAAGAGGTCCGTCGCCGCCTTTGTGTCTTTGGTCTGGAGCCCTCCCGTCTGCTGGACATTTGTTTCCCTGCCCGCTCTGTCCTTGGCCTGTTGGTCCATAATGGGTATGCCCCCACTGTCCTGGAGCTCTTGGAGAAGGCTCAGGTGAAGGTCATCTCTGGGTTTGAGCCCCTGGACCCCAAACACCTGGCTGACCCTGCCTTTGCCAGCCTGTCTTCTGAGGAATTGGAAGACAAGGC